AAAGTTTCTCCGTCTTGATTGATAGTCTTCATTGATCCATGAAACATCTATCAAAGAAGAAATGCTGTCCCTAGAGGAACAACGTTTCTGAAGTAGATGTGGGATTGAAGCATGTATACGTCGTAGTTGAATCACTATGGAATTAAACGGGGATAGATACTGCCTTGCACGAGATTTCACATCTTGACTGGAATAAGGGCGCAGATTCGCCTGGAAAAATCGTCATGTAGTTTCTCTGCGAAAGCGACCATTGAATTCAGGTTCTCGCGTCCTGCAAACCCGCATTAATGAAGAAAATTTCTCTCGGATTTCGAAAGCCTAAACCAGCGAATAAAAGGGATAAATTTAATTTTGCTTCCTCTCATAGGGTACCCAGGCTACGGAGGCTACGGCGGCTACGGCGGATACGGCGGCTACGGCGGCTACGGAGGCTACGGCGGACATGGAGGCTACGGCGGCCACCACCACCACCATCACCATCGTCCCCATTTCTTCGGCTGAACGGCTCGGCCTTTCTCTCGTCGCCTCGGTCCTTTGGCAGTTCGCATTTCCGTGCCGGAAGAAGGTCGCCCCGCTCGTCCGCGAACGACACTAGCCAAAGAATTTTGGCTGTCAGAATGACGATTTTTACACCGAAATAAATACTCGAAGGCATTTCGCACCTCCTCGTCCGTTCATTTGTCTTATCGAGAAATGAATCAAGATTTCCAGGCGAAGGAAAAACCTCGCAAAATGGCTGTCTCGGTCTCGTTGCACTGTCACATGCGTGGGACGCAGTGCGTCGGATTGTATCGATAAATCGAGTGGATACAAAAGAACGACCTAATAAAGCAACTTTCTACAAGTAAACTTGAAAATTAAACTTTCACAACCTTGAAGGTTTTCTCCGTGTCCTCAAAAATTCGCAGAAAACACAAAAATGAATAATTGCCTCCGAATGAATTCGAACAGAAAAATCGATCCGATTACCAAAAGATCAATAATTCGCTCCTTAACGTTTGAAATTACTTTACCCCGACTTGACCAACGAAAGCCGAGCTCAAAAAAGTTCTCAGGCTCGAAAGGATCGCATGGAACCAAATTACATTCTTCCGACCTTCAACTTTCTGAAAGAGAAAGGAATTAGATGGAGAAAGGATCTTTCGCCGATTCCAAAGTTCTGAACCTGATCCCCTGCGTTAGTCTCCCGTGTTCCAGAAAGGGCCTTTACTGAGGTCATTTCAAGGCCAAATCTGGAGAAGAGGAAAGAAGAAACTTAGTACCGAATCCGGTAACAGTCACCTAACAAGGATGCAAAAAAATCATCCGGCACTTAAACATTTAGCCTGCATAAAAGGACAATTATTCAATTTAATTTCCAAAGACGACTGCTTTCTTTACAGATACGAATCCCATGCATCAAGGTTACACCTAAACCTACAAGTGAAAAAATATCATGAGAGAAACGACAGGAAGGAAAAATCAGTCGTAATCCTTGACGTTCTGAATTCCCAGCGCTGTGGCGCCACGAACTCCGCCTTAGTTTCTTTCTGGGTCTCTGGAAGACGTGGCAAGGGAAAACGAAGGCTCGTGATGACGTCATGACGTCACCTGGGTCGTCGTCTCTTTCCCCCCCCCCCCCCCCCCCCCCCCCAACCCCCCCCCNGTATCGTTTATCGAAGGTCTCTTCCCCCCCCCCCCCCCCCGGCCCTCTATGCCGTGGGCCGTGAAACGGTGATCCGTTCCGCTTCTCAACGGGATTCTGGGTTTCCGTCCTCCGTCTCAACTCCTTGGTTCCCCAGTTATCGCCGCGAATCGAATGCGATTTCCGTGCTTTGAGGAAAGCCATTTGACAGGTGCAGTTGGAGATCTAATCCGCAGGGAAATTTTCCATCGCTCTGGCAATGTTTACGTTTGACGAGAGGGATTCCCTTATCGGTTGAGAGGATCTTGAACGGAAGACCTTGACCTTGAAGTTATGACAAGTCGGATCCGAGTCCCAAAAATTGAGAGTTCGAATGCGTTCCCGTGAAAAGAACTCAAAATCGGTTAGATTTCAATAAAAACGAGGGAAGTGGGACCCTTGGGGTATCATTTTCACTTCGAATAAGAAGGCTTCCCGATTTCCAGCTTCCAATCATGCTCTAGTGGTTGACTTTCTATTTTTATCTTATTATCTGCCTTGCAGTGAAAAACACAGGATTAAAATTCCAAGGGAAAGGATAACACAAGGATTTTTCTTTGAAAAGTACAAATTTTTTTAATGACCAATTCACCCATTTCCTCTTCTCGCGCCACATATTTTTTTTTTTTCTTAATCCGATTAGCAATTTCTTGTCCAACTCCCAGTTATTTTCCTCTCCAAATATCTCTTAAATGAATATGTTCTTTTCCATCAGCTCTAAATTTCATAAAAGTTGCAGACAAATAAGTTTTTCTCGGAAATTAAGCTAGGTAAGAAGCCTTATATTCTCAAGCTAAAAAAAAATGTTTTTTTTTGTGCGTTTCTTCAGGTAATTCATAATCTACCAAGAATATTATAACATGACGCATTGAGCGTCAAACGAAGTGGCTATTTTATATTTTCTCGTTTAAAAGTAAGGTGCATATTTTGGGACGCGCAGTGAATCTGACTATACAATGAAAAAAATAGATACGAACGAAACCATGGAAGGAAACAAGGCAGGAATATCTCAGATGCTAGTTCCCCTCCCCTCCCCTCCCCTCCCCCCCCCCCCATCATCATCTGAAATGTGTGGATGACGCGTCTTCAGAGGTGATTTGGCGAGGGACGCACTTCTTTATCATTATATATTGATATTGAGACTGGAAAATTCATAAAGTACGCATTATAGTGTGGGAAAAAGCGATTTCTCATCGGGATCTCAAGGGGGCAAGGGTAAAAAAATCGCTTATTCCAGACAAACGACTTACACAAACATAAAATTAGGACAAAATGTGAGTTGACTGGCAGATCGCATACTTGAATCGAATTTTCAATTCGAATAGCTTTCTGGAACTGTTGATTAAGAGCAATCGACTCACAACAGGCGAAGACTAATAAATGCCTAATGTGGCAATTTTTCGGCGAATAACTGAGCCAGGAAACGTGAGGTGCACTTACGATCAGGCCGACACGGTCATTTTGGTGGGTGATATTGGGGTTCACGGTTCACGGAAGTCCTATGGAAGATGAGATTTCTCCTGTTGACATACGTGAGCTGATTTGAAAGGCAGGTTATACACTGACGATGACAGTGAGGACCTCCTTTAGATGGTCCATCCAGTTGGGAATTCCCCACCGCGGCCATTCCACCCTGCCCGCCCATTCACTGTTGACATACGTGAGCTGATTTGAAAGGCAGGTTATACACTGACGATGACAGTGAGGACCTCCTTTAGATGGTCCATCCAGTTGGGAATTCCCCACCGCGGCCATTCCACCCTGCCCGCCCTTTCCTTCCACGAAGTGAAGGAAGCAAGACCGGGTTTTTCCTTTCCATCCTTTCTCCCAGGTAGAGTCTATGACCGCCTGGAGATGCCTAACAGCAATAACTGCGTCGAGGGTATTCCCCTCCCACCATCCGGTATAAATACCCCTAACTGGACCCGATTCCGTTCATTCTCTGCCTGCAGATCGACTGCTCACAGCATCCTTGAACCTTGTGAAATCGTCTCCAGAACTTCCACGTCGCACTAATCTCCAAGATGAAACTCGTGAGTGTTTCCTTATATCTACGTATACTGGAATAGTCGGCAAATGTATTTCTCTCTGTGGATCAAGAAAACTGATGATTTTGAAAGTTGATTCAAATGTTTTGGAATTGTCGTACATAATACAGTAGTCGTACATATTGCAAGCGACATACATTGAATGAAGTTGTATTCCCAACAGTATGGAATAATATTTACTTCTCACGAGGCTTCCCTAATTATGTCATTTCTCGCGTAAGAGGACACGATGTGCGTCTTGTTTTCCATAGAGAAATTGAAAATGTTTTTGTTGAATAGATGTTGGTATTGTTCGGACTGGTGTGTCTGATGGCTGTGGCCCTGGGAGCGCGCCTGAGTGCAGAGGAGGAAGACCTCTTCCCTGCTGAATCTGCCCATCGAGGGGGCTATGGGGGCTATGGTGGCTATGGGGGCTACGGCGGCTATGGGGGTTATGGAGGTAATTCTCAGCTGTGTTTATGATATCCTTGGGTTCGATGTGGTGTGCTGGTAGTATTTGTTCTTACTTCTAGTCATCCTTGGTTGACTAGTACGTTAATGTTCGGAAAATTTTCGATTTGAGGAGAAAAGTTTATCAACCTAAATTGTCTTCATCGATTCGTGAAACATCTATCCGAGAAGAAAAGCTGTCACTATAGGAACAGTGTTTTTGAAGTAGATATGGGGTTGAAGCATGTACACGTCGTAGTCGAGTATCTGTGGACATTAAAGAGGATAGGTATTGCCCTTCGTTAGACTTCATATCTTGCCAGGAATAAGATCGCAGATTTGCCTGGAATTTGCCCTGTTGATTCTCTGCGGGATCGATAATTCAATTCAGGATCTCGCGTCCTGCAAACCCCCTTTAATGAAGAAAAGTCCTTTCCGATTTCGAAAACCTGAAACAGGGAAGAAAAGTGAAAAAGTATTTTGTTCCTCTCACTTCCCAGGCTACGGAGGAGGCCACGGAGGCTACGGCGGACATGGAGGCTACGGCGGCCACCACCACCACCACCATCACCATCGTCCCCATTTCTTCGGCTGAACTGCTCGGCCTTACTCTCGTCGCCTCGGTCCTTTGACATTTCGCGTTTCCGTGCCGGAAGAAGGTCACTCCGCTCGTCCACTAACGACACTAGCCAAAGAATTTTGGCTGCCAAAATGACACTTTTACACGAAATAAATGCCTGAAAGCATTTCGCACCTCCTCGTCCGTTCATTCGTCTTCTCGAGAAATGAATCAAGATTTCCAGGCGAAGGAAAACCTCACAAAATGGCCGTCTCGGTCCCGTTGCACTGTAACCTGTGTGGGACGCAGTGCGTCGGATTGTATCGCCACATCGAGTGGATACAAAAAGAACGACCAAATTAAGCAACTTTCTACAAGTAAACCATAAAATTAAACTTTCAAAAACTTTTCCAAAAAAGGTTTTCTCTGTGTCCTCGAAGGATTATGCAGAAAACACAAAAGTGAATAATGGCCTCAGTGAATGAATTTAAGAAGAAAAACCGATCCGATTTCTAGCGATCAACAATTTGTGCCTTGACGTCCGAAATTACTTTTGACTTAACCGAATGACTTAACCAACGAAAGCCAAACTCAGAAAACTTCTCAGGCACGAAAGGATCGCACAGGACCAAATTATACTCTTCCGACCTTCAACATTCAGAAAGAGGAAGAAATTTGATGGATAAAAGATCTTTCGTTGATTCCAGAGAAGTTTCTCTGCGTTATTCTCCTGTGTTCCTTAGCCGTCGACTAACATGGAGGCCAAAAAATCACCCAACACTTGAACATTTAACTTGCATGAAGGGGCAATTTGTTCAATTTAATTGCTAAATACGACAGTTTTATTTACCGATACGAATCCCAAATATCAGGGTTATGCCTGAACATGCATGTGAAAAAAGCTCGTTTTCGTAAAAAAAAATCCTGAGAGAAACGATTTGAAGGAAAAATCAGTTGTAATTCTTGACGTTCTGGATTCCCAGCGCTGTGGCGTCATGTACTCCGCATCGGTTTCTTTCTGGGTCTCCGGATGACGTAGAAAGGGAAAGCGAAGGCTCGTGATGACGTCACCCAAGCCCCCCCTCCCCCCCGTAGGCAGTGGGCCGTGAAACAGGGATCCGTTCAGCCTCTCATCGGGATTCAGGATTTCTTTTTTTTCGTCTCCACTCCTCGAATCCCCAGTTATCACCGCAAATCGGATGCGATTTCCAATGCCTTGAGGAAGGTCATTTGACAGGTACGATTGGAGATCTAAGCCGTAGGGATATATTCATCATTCTAGTCATGTTTAAGTTTCACGAGAGGGATTCCCATTCCTTTTGAGTGGAACTTGAATGGAAGATCTTGACCATCTCGGATGGAAGAGGCGCGATGCGAGAGGGACGGCGGATATCCTATCCATCACAAATGTGAAATTCTCTCGGGAGTTATATGGGGCTGGCGGAAAAGAAAAAGCAGAACGAAAGTTTCGCTGGAAAGACAATTTCACTGCGTCGCAATGTTATGACGAGTCGGATCCGAGTTGATCGCCCCAAAAACTTGAGAGTTCGACGGCACTTTAGTGAAAAGAACTCAAATCGAATGGGACCCTTGGGGTATTATTTTAGCTTCGAATAAAAAGGGCTTCCCAATGAACTGTTTCCATTTTTAGCGTCAATCATGCTTTATTGGTCGATTTTGTATATTTTCATCTGCCTACGCCTTGCAGTGAAAAACACAGGATTAAAATTCCAAGGGAAAGGATATCACAAGGATTTCTTTGAAAAGTACCCATGATTTTGATGACCAATTGACCCATTTCCTCTTCCCACGCCACATATTCCGTTTTTTTCCTAATCCGATTAGCAATTTCTTGTCCAACCCCCAGTTATTTTCCTCTCCAAATTTTTCTTAAATGAATATGTTCTTTTCCATCAGCTCTAAAATTCAGAAAATTTACAGATAAATAAGGTTTTCTCGGAAATTAAGCTAGGTAGGGACTTCAAAGATACGCATAATTTTCATTTCAAATTTTAAAAATAAATATACATAACACAGAAACCAGCCTTTTTGCCTTAAGTTCTCAATTTATAATATATTTCTTTGTGCTTCTTCAGGTTATTCACATTCTACCAAGCATATGATTGTGATACTGGGGAATGCATACGGTGAGCATAAAAGTAAGCGAAAAAGATTTTTCTCATCGGGATCTGGAGTGAGCCCGGATCAAAAATCTCCCATTTCAAACAAATGACGCACACAAACGCATAAATTGGAAACATGAGTCGACTGGCAGATCGCATACTTGAATCGAATCCTCAATTCGAACAGCTTTAGGGAACCGTTGATGAAGTGCAATCGACTCACAACAGACAGAGAAGATAATGATAAATGCTTAACAAGGCAACTCTTAGGCGAATAAAGGAGGCAGGAAACGTGAGGCGCACTTACAAACAGGTCGACAAGGTCATTTTGGTGGGTGATATTTGGGGTGGCGTTCACGGTCAGGAAGTCCTATGGAAGATGAGATTTCTCCTGTTGACATACGTGAGCTGATTTGAAAGGCAGGTTATACACTGACGATGACAGTGAGGACCTCCTTGAGATGGTCCATCCAGTTGGGAATTCCCCACCACTGTTGACATACGTGAGCTGATTTGAAAGGCAGGTTATACACTGACGATGACAGTGAAGACCTCCTTGAGATGGTCCATCCAGTTGGGAATTCCCCACCGCGGCCATTCCACCCTGCCCGCCCATTCGTTCCACGAAGTGAAGGAAGCAAGACCGGGTTTTTCCTTTCCATCCGTTCTCCCAGGAAAAGTCGGAGATGCCTAATTACAGTAACTGCGTCGAGGGTATTCCCCTCCCACCATCCAGTATAAATACCCTTAACTGGACCCGATTCCATTCATTCTCTGCCTACAGATCGACTGCCCACTCGATCCTTGTGAAATCGTCTCCTGTGCTTCAAGGTCGCACTAATCTCCAAGATGAAACTAGTGAGTGTTTCCTTGTATCTATATTGGAATCGTAGGTATATGTGTTTCTAGTTGGGAATCAAGGAAACTGATGATTCTCGGGCATGACTATTCCTTTTGATCTTTTGGAAGTTGATTCATAATTATACATTGGAATTGAATGAGATAGTCATGCATATTTCAAGCGGTATACATTGAATGAAATTCTATGTCCTTTAGAATAGAAAACGAATTCTGTCGCAAGAGGCTCCCCTAATTATATCATTTCTTGCGTAAGAGGACACGATGTGCGTCTTGTTTTCCATGGAGAAATTAAAAATGTTTTCATTGAATAGATGGTGGGATTGTTCGGACTGGTGTGTCTGATGGCTGTGGCCCTGGGAGCGCGCCTGAGCGCGGAGGAGGAAGACCTCTTCCCTGCTGAATCTGCCCATCGAGGGGGCTATGGAGGCTATGGGGGCTATGGAGGTTACGGGGGCTACGGCGGCTACGGAGGTGGCTATGGAGGTAGGAGTCATACCTCATATTTTATATTGTTCATAAAATGCTTTGATAGGTCATAGGCATGCTCCTTCCGTATTTTTGTTCATTTTTTTTAATTTCAAGAAATTAATTAATTTTCCTTTTTTATTTGGTTCACAGGGTACGGAGGAGGATTCGGAGGCTTTGGTCATCACCGTCGTCCCCATCATTATGGCTGAACGGATTGGCTTTCCTTCTCTCCCATTTCCCCTCCCATCCCTTGGCAATTCACAATTCCGTCCTAGAAGACGTACATTCACATCTGGAAAAGACACAAAGACTTGCGACTGCCAAAATGCTTTATTTCTGAATAAACATATGAAAACGTTTTGCACATTTCCTGTTTACTTCATTTTCCAAGAAATACCGTAAAGAAACACCCCAAAGACGTGAAAATCTAGGACTGTCCATTTTGGTTTCGCCCAAATAATCCACTGCAAAAATAATCGATCCTGTTGGCAATGTGCAGTTTGCGACTCCTGAAAGTCAGTGGACAAGATCAGATTGTCCTTCCGAATGGAAGAAGACTCTCGGTCGGGAGTGTGGGAGGATGGATAGCACATGGCTTCCGAGACCTGGAAAAGGCAGCCTCGACACATTCAAATGCCATAGTGGTGAATTCTAGAACTTGGCGACTTCATTCCTTGAGGGTATAGAGTATATAAAGGTATCGAAGTTCTGTGGCTCGAGTGCACGGACACATAGATAGCGTCGCCAGCTGCTGGCTTTTCCATGTTCCAAATTCCAACTGTCACTTTCCATGCGCAGCGCAACTCACATCGGAGTGAGGCAACCCAAAGGATTATCGAAAGAAGGCTCAACATTTAACGCGTGCGGAAGAGAACCTGATTACGATCGAATATTGCGCAACGTCGAATATTCTGACTGCTTACGCACTGGCAGTCACTCGGTTCAGCATTGAACGGTTTAACTTGAAACACTTTCCTTAGCATCTGGTGATTTTTTTTCCAATAGAAAAGAGCATCTGTTTCATTTGCCTTGCATTTGCACTTTGCATTCGGATAAACTTTGTAATGGGAAATAAAAATGGCCTGCGGCATCTATTGACGTCACAGGTAAACATCATTTAGTAAAATATAAATGTTCGTGGGCTCAATCCAATCGGAAGATCGAAAGGAATCGGGAACGGGACGAGTCAAAAACTGAGATGCACTACTTCAACAGGCCAGCCATCTGGCAGTAGAATATGCATAGATTTTCAAAACAAAATACACATGAATTAATACACATGAATAAACATATTCCCTGCGAATTACAAGACTTTAATTAAAAAGGAGACCTCAACGTTAAGTTGTCAGCTAAACGGAAGGAAAAAGAATAATCAGGTATGCGTGTGATTTTTCCTGTGTGATGCCATTCGGCAGTTAAACGAATTTTCGCTTAATTGTTGCCTAATTCGGCGGCAATAAAATGAGATCTTCTCAAGAGGGTTAAAAAGTGAACCTTTCGATCGTAAGCTTGAATTCTTCTATTGCTTGGATTGAGCAAGTAAATATTTTCTCATTTCATCAGTCCATATATATCTAATGAAAGACAAATGATACACAGAGAATCGATTGAAGCACGTAGAAAATATTGTCAATGGGAATATCGAATAGCAGCCCAAGTTCGAACACCCATTTTTCTCTCTTTACTTCCAATTGAAGGAAATAGCCTTCCCATTGAATGCCAAAATGCCATAATTCATTTTT